AAAATTATTAATAAAGCATTTTACATTGGGGGTACTAACTGTTTGAAATACGTTCCAGTGTGTAGTTTACACATACGGCACATCTCAATTCAGATACAAAGTTTTTATTCAAAATATTTGATCTATATCATAAAAAGTAGATTCACATATCCTACTTGTTCCATACATACTTGGAAATTTTCCAAAAACCAGTTATCAGCTTTTACATTTAAATAGTTTAAAATTAGATAAAATTAAAAATTTAGTTTCTCAGTCACAACTAGTCACTTTTCAAGTGTTCATTTGCCTAACTTGCCCAGTGGCTACCTCATTGGACAGTTTCAGCTTATGGGGATGGGTTCTCTCCAACAGCCCCTGTCCTTTGTGACACCTGCAGAACACAGAGCCAAAGGACCTTTGCTTTACATAGTTCGACCAGCCTCACTTCTTCCTGCTAGAAGTTTATGGGGAAAGGGATTGAAGAGGTGATCCCCATTTTTCTGACAGTGAAACTGAAGCTCAGAGGCAGGTTGTTTAATTTCGGTCACCTGTGGTGGAGCCCGAGCCAGAACAACTACTGATAATGTCAGGGCTAGTGCTCCTCCCAGCCCTCCCCACAAGACTCCATTCTGTATCCTTCCCAGGGAGTGTCAGAAGGTGTACTGTGTAAATAGTAGCAGTGAGATGAAGGATGAACTCTAACCTCGCCTGGCTTCTGGATATTCCAGCTCTCTCCCTTGCCCCCAGGTTGGTTGTCCTTGCAGAGACATGGGACATCTGGAGGTAACCTCTGACTTGGAGAAACCAAAAGAGCATTGACTTGTGCTGCTCCTTCAAAAGTAGCAGATTTGGCCGGGTGTGTTGGCTCACACCTGTAATTCCAGCACTTTGGGAGGCCAAGATTGTTTGAGCCCAGGAGTTTGAGACCCGCCTAAGTGACATTGACAGACCTTGTCTTTACCAAAAAAAAAAAAATTAGCTGGTGTGGTGGCATCCACCTGTAGTCCCAGCTACTCAGGTGGCAGAGAAGGAAGCATCTTCTGAGCCCAGGAGGTCAAGGCTGTGGTGCACTCTAGCTTAGGTGACAGAGTGAGACCTTGAAAACAAAATAAAGTAGCAGAGTTATGTAAATTCCAGGCAGAAGCTGCTTACCATTGCATAGGTTTGGAGCTGTAGCCAGAAGGGATGATTTGCACGTGGGAACCTAGCAGCTGCCCATGCACAGGGTCCCCTGGTGATGTTTTCTGCCTTGTGGCTGTCACTCCTCTGGCCTGGGCCTGGACCCCAGCATCCTCACAGCATCGCAGGTGGGGGACCAAGGGTTCCCCTGCGGGGTTCTCCCCATCCGTCCCAGTAGCTCTAGCTGGTCAGCTGGTGCAGACCCAGTGTCCAGCATTGTGCTCTGCAGAATTGGGATGGTTCTCTCAACTGACTCAGCAGACACGGGATTGTACTTGGGGCCAATATCTGCTCCCATGATTGAAGAGAAATAGGGAAGATATTTTCAGAATATCTTTTTTCCCTCCTAGCTTATATCCTCAAAAGCCTTTCTTTACATCAGCCCTTGTGATGAGCTCATTTTTGGGACTATAACCGTTGCCCCACAGTAGGTGAAGCAAACTTAACTGCATAGCCCACTCTCTTCCTAATTCCTCTTCCATGGAGCATAAAGCTGGATTTGAATTCTTATACCACAGTTCCAGCCTTCGTGGTTTGGCCATATTGCTTTCCAGAAGGTTTCAGGAAGACTGGTTATGCAAGCGGTACTTCCTGTTTACCCACTTTTAATAATTAATGGCTGAAGAGGATGAATGGTGACCACAGAAGTGTTCTAATGTCATTTATTTGAAATGTTTTCCTCTTGTAGTAGTGTGCCAAACAATTGTGACAGTCCAGCTTACACACAAGAAGCTGAACCAGGAGTCTCACTAGCTATAGATCCTGACTACTTTTACAGCTGAGGATTGTTTTGAAAGTGAACTGTCAGGAGCCTGAAGTTGTGTATTCAAGGCTGATGCCTGTGATAAAAAGACTAGTTGACTAGTGAGCTGCAGTTCACCAGCCCTGGGTGATTTCATGCACTCCTAAGGTTTTATCACCCCCCCCTTTTTTTTTGAGTTGGAGTCTCACTCTGTTACCCAGACTGGAGTGCAGTGACCACTCCCG